TCATCTAGGTGAATTATTCTCTCTTTAAAATCGGCATTTCTCCAAAAACTCTCTTTGATCAGGTGATCTGAAAGCAGTTATCTATTTTCGTTAGAATGAACTTGATTAGCATTTAACAGTTGAGATATGATTGTCATTTCAAAATGAGAACTGATAAAAAGTGATTTCGTTTAACAATAATGTATGCGTCTAAATTCAGCACATTTTCTTACTACTAAGCTGAATGTTTCATTGAAATCGTGAACCGATCATTGTTGGACCACCATTGGAATCGTAGGATTGTGATGTGTCGAATTAATGCGTATTCTTAAGCTCGGTAATTAACTCGTCCAGACAATTGCTGCTAAATAGCGTCTGACGGTTTATGAATCAGAAAATGAATTCGTAGTGATGAATACGTTTATTCGGGACACATCACAAAGCGAAGCGGAGAAGCAGTGAATAAAACGAATGAAGCAACGTGAACTGGAAAAGGCTAAGAGCCAACTCCATGGGTTACAATACGAACGAATGGGCGAAGCGAATTGGAGAAGGCTAAGAGCCAACTCACTGAGACAAAGCATGACTAAGAATATATAGTCAGACCAAAAATAAGACAGACATATGACAAGCAAAATAGGTATGCACACACATGAATAAAAGCGACGAATAATTGACAAGGTCAAAAGCAAGCGATACAAATCATGTGAGTTCATGGGGACATTAAGAGATTAACATTAAAGGAAGAAAGATGAGTCAGCGCGTAGGCGTAAACAATGCTCAATCGTACAAGCTCATACAAACCACACAATAATAAAATACCAATGGTACATATGGGTTGTTGCTATACGAATAGCTTGGTTACATAAGTTAATCAAAAGGCGTAATCAAATTAAATATGAGCAAACTCAAGTTTATGTGGAGGCACGACAGGATCACTGGATGCCTGTTTTGTCCCCATATGGGACTCATCAACAGTGTGCATCCACGATCTCACAATCGGAGGTCGAACACAGGACCTTCGGCATTGCTCGCGACGGTTCAAACTGTTGATCACTGAGTTGACATTCAACGGTGTAAGTGTTTAACTTTGATCAATCCATGACATTGTGTAATTGTGATCGGTGGTAACTGCCTTACACCCGACACTGTCACAGATTCTGACTAGAACCTAGTTGGATGTCGACTCAGTGATGTAGGGGTTAGGCGTTCACGCACGAGACCGAAGGTCCAGTGTTCGATTTTTCTATGAATTTCAACAACACCCACGACAGTTTACTATTAATCTATATTAGTTGATTTGGTAAAATATGCATAAATATCATTCAGTAAGTAATGTGAAACTTTTCTTTAAAGTATCTTTTTCAGAATCTTTTGTTTGCTGCTGCATTCATTCGACCCTGAATGAAGTTTTACATTATCATCCTGTGTTGCAAGTCCTTATTCGGTGATTACGGTTATATCAGTCAGATTGTATGTAATTTTTATGGTATTTTGATAAACAGGAAAGCAGAGTATTTTGTCTAAACCCTCCAGTTACTAATTGTAAGATTCAAAATGAGGTTCGGAATGAGGAATAACTGTCTAAGTAGTCTAGATACGCGGATTCGCCCAGTTGAAACCGAAACAAACTGATTGGGTATATGACGGTTCTAAACTCAGTTATTCCACCAACGGTTTTTCGATTAATCAAATCAGTAGCAGCAAATCAATGTTATTCTATCCTTTCTGGATAGATCAGATAATATTTGGTTGCTTTATAACACAGAGTGTTTCCTATTCTGGAAGAATGCTTCAATTCACAATCAAAATGCACAATTCCAGTCAAAGCAAGCAACACAATGAAAAGAGAAACAAAGCAATATGGCTGTCGTCAAGACTTGGTATCAGCTAAAACAACATAATACAGTTCAAGAAGAAACATAGATAATCAGTAAAGGCAGAAGAAATAGAAACTTTAACAAAATACAAATATTATCATCTCAAAATGACATCGAACAGATTAACAAAATGTACAACTGAAGGAATCAAATTATAAATGTATACATGGAGGGATTTTCACAAACAAAGCTTTCAAAAAATTAGATCTTACACTAGTTATTGATTGACTAAAAAGTATAACTGTTCTGAGAAGAATTTCTATTAATTTTTTCACTGAGTAAAGAAAATGAACATGAACACTGGATGAAATTCACTTAAATCTATTATCTTGTAAAAAATTTATCTTAAAAAAAATAGTCATATTTATTTAAAAGTACAATTCATTGTTTAATTTAAAAATAATCTTTGATATACTTCTTAATGGTTTGAATTGATATTAAACTCTCATGGAACAAGGATTATTTCTATTGTGATCGATCAGAGTAGTGTAACATCAACTGCATTTAAATAATGTAAACAAATGATTGTATGCCTTTTAGTGAGCAAGTCAAGATACCATATTGACTATAATCACTACTAAATGTTCCATACGGTCCTGTCATGTGCATCAAAACAAATCCATGTACCAAGATTTTATTGAAGGAGACATTAGGCATTACATCGGGAACAGGGCATTTAGAAAAATGGCAGCAACGCGAAGAGTAGGTTGCGCGCAAGAATTGGTAGAAGTGTTTTTGGTACAATTAAACAAAACGAGTACAATAATGTTTATTCTTCATAGAAGCGTTCCACTATAAACATGCTATCATTTAAATTGACACATAGTAGGTTGTAAGGTATGAAGAAAAAAGAAAGATGAACTGAGGCGGGCGCGGAAGATTATCTTGTGCTAATGTACACTCTTAGTCAATTAAAAACGAACACATTACATTGAACATTCTATTTGCACACCATCTTTTAGTCGTGACTTCCAACACTCCATCCTTCTTCCATTCCTGCTGTTGCTTTCTTTACTTCCTGTTAATACTCTATTTACTTCTTTCTTTTGCTTCATTTGCTTTCCGTTTTGCTCTTCTGACCGTGCAACTTCTTCTTTCACGTCCATTCTTATACTACTTATATCGTCCGTATAAGTAGCACACACCACAAATATATATATATATATATATATAGTAGAGTAATAAATCAGTCGGACTTATTTACATATTAAGCAGCATG